TTGATAAAATTACGCAAGACGAAAGAGTAAAAGACGAAAACTCGGAATTGCGCGAGGACAGAGAGGAATCGTATAATAACAACTTCGTCTTCTCATGGTTCTCGTTATGATGCCAAACGTCAGACAAGTCAGATTGGAAATGAAAACACATACACTAATTTACTAGCGAGTATTAGTGTTCTTGAGCCGAAGAATTGGCCGAAATCAAATGATGGTGAAGTAGAAATACAATATGGTGATAAAGAAATTAGACATCTGTGTACTCAGTTCTATTTAAATGATGTACAAATAATTCGTGGCTTTAGGTTCTACAAAATGAGCGGAGGAAAAGAAGAAATTCCTGATGATTTGAAACCACTTTTAAACGTTATTGCATCAATTCCAATATCCACTAGCGAATGTGAGAGGAATTTCAGTTCAATGAATGAAATAGTAACACCATTACGATCATCGTTGTCGGTGGAAACAACTGCTGCACTGTTATTCATAAACTGCGTTGGACCACCGCTAACGCAATTTAACCCTGAAAAATATGTGCGATCGTGGTTAGCAAAAGGTAATTAAAATCTATTTAATATTACCTAATAAAATTTTTAAATTGTTGTATCAGTATAGATATATAATTTTTTTTGTTTCAGGACGACATTCAGCCGATAATTCAGCCAGCCGCAAATGAGTTCATAAATTAGACCAAAAATACGAGCTATTGTGGAATCTTTTGTAACAAAATAAAAGTTGCGAGTTTTACTTATTTTGTTTTTATTTACTTAATAAAAAATTTCGGAAGCGTTCCGGTTCGTGAAAAAGTCCATTTCGAACACTGGTTTTATTCACATATTCAAATTGTTTATTTAAACCCTAGGATGCATAAACCGGGTCTCTCAGGCCCGACGAGATTTTAGTTACTCATAATTTTCTTAAAATAATTTCAATCGGCTTGAGCATTTAGATATGCTCTAAACACGTCTTTATTCAATACATACTTGATTCAAAAACATTCAAGTGTAATTACTGTAATTAGCAATCGAAAAAAAAAATCGTTTCCATTAGCACCACGTATTTGCATAAACCGGGCCTCCGAAACCCGTGTACTACAGGTAAACGTCGTTTTGCGCCGGTTCGATTTACGCTAAAAATCGTCTAAATTCGAAAAAAAAACCGAACAAAAATATTTTAACGCAGTTTGGGTTGAGATAATTTTTAGAAACTTGGTATGTGGCTATAGGACTATATGCTAAAGACTTTGTGAACTTTTGGATCAAATATGGCAATTACTACTAATTTACTTGAGGTCACATTCTATTTTTTTCATATAATTTAGGTCCTTAGAATTGGATAAATACAAAATTTTATACAACGCTATTAAATCGTGAAGATAGCTAAATACAAAATTGTTTAAACTAAATTGGTTATATAGTTTACTTCGATGTAAGGTTTCTATAAATAAATCTTTAACTACAGAGTGTCTCACGTAACTGGTTCGTTAGAACTCTTTCAGGTTCCACTATTCGTACAATTTTGAAATTTTGGTAGCATGGGTTGTTCATTCGGAACTTTCAATCTAAAATATTTTCAAGATGCATTCTATTTAAAATAACGTTATTTTAAATAGAATGCTATAGTTTTATTACATATATAGTTTTTATATACAGGGTCATCCACGAGACCGTCCATTGTCCAAGATGTAAAATGAGACACCGAAAACGACTAAGTAATAAAATATGGGGGGTGCCATTTAAAAAAATGAAGTTATGGTATTTCCAAATTTCGAAAAGTTAACGTGCCATAGTAAAGTGACCAAACGTTCTAGACAGCCATACTCGGCACCAAAACATACTCCATCATGTTGCTTAAGCATGTTCTGAATCCTAAATTGATACCCCAAAAATCGAGTGTTCTCTGATTTTTTGAACAAATGTCTGCTGGAGTAGATTTTTCTAGAAAAATTCGAATAACTCGAGAACGGCCGAATCAAATTGCAAAAAGTAAAGTCACTCATAAATCTTGAAAACAGACAAATCCAAATATGTAAAAATATACAGAGTGTTCCATTTAAGAAAATAAAGTAGGTGGCGACTTCCGGTATAACCGAAAGTGTTAGATATTTGAAAATATTTTAGTCGAAGAGAACGCAATTGATAATACTTAAATCTGAATTTTCAAATTTGTATTTTGGCCATAACCCTGTAAAGTTCTAATGGCCCGTCGTCGTGGATGAACCTGTATAGTTTTTATTACACCATTTAATTGTACGTAAAAAAATAGGTTCACTTTAATAAAAGTTATTGGTACCTAGCGTTTTTCGTTTTCGAGTTATTTTGGTTCTAAACTTTTTTTGGTAAATTTCACCATGCTCTTTAAAACTCCATATCTCAGCCAACGTTCATTCAAAAAAGGTCTAAATTGGTACGATTATTCTTCAGATGCTGTCAAATAGATTGTCATTTGTTGTATCGGAGTATCTTATACAGGGTGGTCAAAAATTGAATTATTGTTTCTCCATTTTCAATGACGAGAAAGTAGAAAATTTTAAATGGAACGCACCATGCTTTTTTAGCCTATCAGAAAGGGAATTTAATTCTCTATAAATTATCTACGTTGCTTAACAATATGTGTTTCTTCTTGTTCTGTTTCAGACCATTCTTCGTCATCTTCATCTTCGTTGCATCCTGCCTCATATAGCTCTTGTTCTGATTCTTGTTCTTCGTCATATTCATCTTCTTCTTCGCGATCTTTTTCTTCTTCCTGGTCTTCTACATTGTCTATTATAAGTAATCTTTTAGTCTCCATACTCATCTTTTTATGTTTTCTAGAAATGTGCTGTTGAAAATTACTTATAAATGGATGTGAGCTGAGTAGCAGTCTTTTAAATAGATCTTCATTCGTATCCAGTCTACTACATTTCCTTGTGTGGCTCTCTCTAAATTTTCGGATTTTTTTGTTATTAGCTTCTTGCGCTTCTTCCGACAACTCTCCAATAGGTAGTAGAGCTTCTTTAATGACTGCAGATCCATGTATCAAAATTTTATGAACGCTGGTTGGCATATAGTACCAACTATAAAATGGACGTACTTTTCGGCAGTTTTGAAACAATATTTATCAAATTCATTGTAATTAATATTGTACCCACTGTTTATTGCAGCCAAAACAACGCCAAATCGCTGTATTAGTTCCTCGTCAATTCCTTAAATGAAGTATAAAGTGATTAGTACATGCGCGCTTACTATAAAATTGTCATAACAGTAATCTCTGATGATAATTTATTAAAACTACGTATCAACTAGTCACCTTCCAAGTTCTAATTTCTAATCTATATGAAATGTGAGGCAGACACACAAAAAACCGAATGTATGCATGGAGAACAGACAAACCAAACTTAAAACCTTCTAGCTCTACCGTTCATCTGTGAAATTTTTGCTCTGCATAAATAACATTCCATTCCAGATGATTCCTTCAAATTCCCATCAAAGAATTACAGACCTACAACATGTATGAATAATTCAAATAAAGTTTTAAGAAAACGAAGACTTTATACCTTGCCATCCACCATCGTGAAATAAAGAGAAAAGTTAACACTTACACATTTTGAGGTATATGGCTGAAGGGAGCTTATTTGGTTTGAAATATATATTTTTCTTCGGTTCTTATAAGAGCGGCATTTTCATGCACCCATTGTAATCTAATCGGTCTACAAAACCGTATAGATTATGGTGTGGGGTTCTTCCACAATACAATATTATTATCATTGTCTTCCAATCGTAATGGGACTAGGAAGACACAAATAGCGAATCATGTTTTCCCTCTGCATTTGTGATGAACTTTTGTTTATAAGTCGAATGACATCCGCTACCATCAAACCCCCACTTACAACGTAATATAGAATTTACATTTACATTTGGATAATTATCGAAACATTTAAAAAAAATTTTTTAAATATTATTTAATAAAACTGGTTCGAAGTGTTTCTGAAGAAAGTTGCAACATGGCATCCGAAACGTCAAACCTTTTCTTAAAAGACGCACGGCAAAACCCGAAAGTTTCTAGTGTTAGTTCTAGTTTTAGTTCTAATTTTAGTTCAATTAACTCCGGCCGTGAAAGCCTTCGTACTTACAAAAAAAGTAGATATTTCAAGTGTTCCAGTTTTTTGCCGCACTGTATCTAACAACCACTTCCGGTTGTTAGATATGCCTGAAACTTTAAGTCTGGTATTCTATTATTGTTATGCAAGTTTACACCAAATATACGAGATTTATCTTTTAAGAAAAAGAATATAAGCATTTTATATGAAAACGGTCAAATAACACACTCAGTCACTGATCATCTTTGATCGTTAATATCTTGGAAAGGAGCAAGTTAAAGCAAGATGTGGTTATCATGTTATATAGAGCACATCTCAAAGAATAAGAATATTCTAGCGACAAAAGTTCTTCTTGCGTCTTCTGCGAGATATATATGTTAAAACATTTGGTTGTAACTTCAAGTAGGTGTTAATTAGCTTTAAAAGAAGTGCTTATTACGTATTTCTGCAAAAATATTTTAAAAATTAGAAAAGTGCCAAATGAAGACCTTTCTATACTGTTCAAGATAGCAACAACGCATTGTCTTGAAAAAGTGGAACACAATATATTTTCTTCATCTAAAGTTGTAGCATTTTATGATATTTAATACACAAGAATTGTAGTACTGTTTTATTGCGTACAGTTGGCACTAGAAAGTACATAAGACTTTATTCCTTTCACCTCTCAGTCTATTAGGACCTAAAGTACATGTAACATGTAAAGAAAAATTTCGAAAATTTGATTTTCGTTCACATTTTACCGCTTGTGGACCACTACGCGCCGGTGGGTGCCGCCGGCGTGGGATTCCCTGTTTCGTCAAACATCAGACGTAGTTTCATTATGGGCGACAATAGTGATTCAGAACTCAAATATTGTGCGAAAAACCGCAAAAAACAATAAGCTTGGAGAAAAGAATGGACGTAATTACACGCATTGAAGATGGCCAAACCCGACCTTTTGTCTGCAGAGCTCTAAATGTACCCCCGTCCACTGTGATAACAATCATGAAAAACGTTGAGAATATAAAACACTCCGCTCGACAGACAACGGCTGTAAGTGTAAAGCACGTAACTTACAGCCGGGGCAAAAATATAGAGAAAATGGAAAAAATGTTAGCATTGTGGGTTGATGATGCCAATCAAAAAAATATTTCTGTAACACAAGCAGATTTGAAGGAGCCAGAAAACACTGACGAAATTTTCTTGGCAAGCACTGGGTGGTTCACAAGATTCAAATCTCGAACCAACATCCGTAGCACTAAACTAAGCGGCGAAACAGCGAGCGCTGACGTAGTAGCAACAGCAGATTACCCTCAAAAGTTTCAAGAAATTGTGGAACAAGGGAACTACCCTGCAGATCTCATCATCCATTTTGATGACTTTGCTCAACAGAAGTGAAACGTCAAACCTTTTCTTAAAAGGTTTCTATTTTTGTTAATGTGAGTGGAAGAGAGGTTCGAGTTTGGAGGCGGCTCGAACCTGCACCACTTATTATTATTATTATTATTGCTACCGGGCTGAGGAGAGCGGCCCCTCTCATTACCGCGACCTATAAGATCTATTGTAACTTTAGCCCTCCAAAGGTTTAGGGCAAATGTAGGTCCTTAATGAACCTTAGTATTGTCCTGAGGTCTTGAACCTTTATGTCGGTAGGTAACAGGGGAGTTTTACCGAAGACGTTGTGCCTTAGACGGCCTCTGGCACAGTATATGTTCAGCAGTTTCTGACTCGTCGTTGCATAGTCGACAAGTTTGATCCTCAGCTTGTCCAATGTGGAAGAGGTGGTGTTTTAGGGGCACATGGCCGGTCAGGTAGCATGAGAGCGTTCTTAGATCCCCTTTGCTGAGGCATAAAACCTCTTTGGTTTTGTTTTGCGACGGAGTTATCATACTCTTCGCTTGTCTGTGACCTGGAAAACTGCACCACTTACACCCCATGCTCCAATATCCCTTGAATACTAACCCTTGGTTAATTGTTTCCATGTTGAATTCTTAATTTTGTAAGAAAATCAGTTTAACGTTGTAAAAGTTCCTGATTTTCATACGTGACGTATATTTTGTTTTGTTTTACACTTGATTTTTATTTGATGACCGTTGCTAGTTTGAATTTAAATCATTTGGTCAAATTCTGTATTACCGACTTCTTAACCTCCAGAGTTATTCAACGTGTTCCGACAGTTAAACCTTCTCTCCGCACGTGCAACTCAGTTTTATTTAGTTTATCTTAAATCTTAATGTTTGTATTATTCTAATGAATATGACGTAAGTCTAAACAAAATCAATCAGTCTATTGTAGTTTGTAGGGTCTACCGAAGAATGGCAGGGTCCCGAAACCTGGTATAGACAATAAAGAAAAAGAATGATCACCTCAGTATTAATTATTTATAACTTATTTTTCTTTTCTTAAAAGACGCACGGCAAAACCCGAAAGTTTCTAGTGTTAGTTCTAGTTTTAGTTCTAATTTTAGTTCAACGTTAAAGATTATTGGCGATCATACGACATTTTAAACGGAATAAAAAATCTAAAGTCTGCTTGTGACGAAGTGACAAACAATTGTTACGGCGTTTGGCGTAAACTTCTACATGGCTTTTTATAAGGTGCAAGTGTATAAGTGGTAAATAACATTAACATAAACAAAGACATTATCAGGCTTACAAGCGAATGTGGATTCGAAGACGTTACAACTGAAGATGTGACCGAACTGTTAGACGTGNACGAGATTTATCTTTTAAGAAAAACATTTTACCGCTTGTGCCACCGGCGTGGGATTCCCTGTTTCGCCCAACATCAGACGTAGTTTCATTATGAGCGACAATAGTGATTCAGAACGCAAATATTGTGCGAAAAACCGTGAAAAACAATAAGCTTGGAGAAAAGAATGGACGTAATTACACGCATTGAAGATGGCCAAACCCGACCTTTTGTCTGCAGAGCTCTAAATGTACCCCCGACCACTGTGACAACAATCATGAAAAACGCTAAGAAAATAAAACACTCCGCTCGACAGACAACGGCTGTAAGTGTAAAGCACGTAACTTACAGCCGGGGCAATAATATAGAGAAAATGGAAAAAATGTAAGCATTATGGGTTGATGATGCCAATCAAAAAAATATTTCTGTAACACAAGCAAATTTGAAGGAGCCAGAAAACACTGACGAAACTTTCTTGGCAAGCACTGGGTGGTTCACAAGATTCAAATCTCGAACCAATATCCGTAGCACTAAACTAAGCGGCGAAACAGCGAGCGCTGATGTAGCAGCAACAGCAGATTACCCTCAAAAGTTTCAAGAAATTGTGGAACAAGGCAACTACCCTGTAGATCTCATCATCAATTTTGATGACTTCGCTCAACAGAAGTGACTTCGAACCAGTTTCTAAAGAAGGTTGCAACATGGCATCCGAAACGTCAAACCTTTTCTTAAAAGACGCACGGCAAAACCCGAAAGTTTCTAGTTTTAGTTCTAATTTTAGTTCAACGTTAAAGATTATTAAATAAAATTCGTTTTTGCACTTAAATGGATTTTTATTTAAATTTTCTCTCAACCGGTTTCGCTACATATTTACAGCATCTTCAAAATGAACATCTTCAAAATGACGTAATCTCCTGAAGATGCTGTAAATATATAGCGAAACCGGTTGAGAGAAAATTTACATAAAAAAAATCCATTTAAGTGCAAAGACGAATTTTATTTAATAGACATAAAATGGAAAGAAAATCATCAAACAATATTAAAGATTATTGGCTATCATACGACATTTTAAAAGGAATAAAAAATCTAAAATCTGCTTGGGACGAAGTGACAAACAATTGTTTAAACGGCGTTCGGCGTAAACTTCTGCATGGATAAGGTGCAAGTGTAGTAGTGGTAAATAACATTAACATAAACAAAGACATTATCAGGCTTACAAGCGAATGTGGATTCGAAGACGTTACAACTGAAGATGTGACCGAACTGTTAGACGTGCATGACCAACCATTCTCAAATCAAGAATTAGAAGTGTTGATGGAGGCACATCAATCAGAAAATCCCGAAGAAGAAGAGGAGGATGAGAAAGAAAATGATAGGAAAATCCTAAAAACGGACAATCTAACTCGAATCCTTTCCTCTATAGAAAGGTTAACAGGCGAGCTCTGTGAGATAGATGAGGATTACAATCGAAGCGCAAATGTTAAAAGAAGCGTCACAGCTGCTGTTCGAACTTATGCTATGATTCTGCAAGATAGGAAGCAACAATCAAAGCAAATGAAATTGGATGCTGTTTTCAAAAAAGTGTGGGTCTTTAATTTAGTTACGAACTAGTGAGTTAGTATTTATTTCAAACAATTCATTATTTATATCAAAAGATTATTATTTATTTTGAATATATATAGGATATGTATTAAATAAACGTGTTAGATTGTTCTTAGAATTTTGACATGGACCCTAACCTTATGTCGTCCATTATATTTGTGTTCATTTTACGCCGATTTTGTTTACGCCGGTGTCTCTCGGAACGGAACCCCGGCGTAAAACGACGTTTACCTGTACTTATTAAATGGATCGGCAATCTCCTGGGTAACACGAAAACAAAAAACCGTGACACTAAGTTCAACAGAAGCCGAGTACATCGCTCTTGCAGAAGCTGCAATTGAAGGTTTATGGACTGTAGGACTGTTGAAAGAGTTATGTGTAGTGGACTTAAAAGTTCGGTGTTATGAAGATAATCAATCATGCATAAAACTATGTGAAAAACCGGATCACAAAAGACTGAAACATGTAGATGTTAAATATAATTTTGTTTAATCTTTGGTGATTGAACAAAAACTGGTACTATCTTGTATAAGTTCGAATAATCAGGTAGCTGATAAGCTTACAAAGCCTGTAACACCAA